ATCATCCAGCCATCCAAAAGGGATCTCGAATTTACTTTCCTATCCCTTTCAGAACTTCAAAGATTGGATGCCGCAGCAAGATCTACTTCTACTCCCAAGACAGCCAACTTCACGTGCGTCGTTACGACTTTCGTCACAATCACGAGGTGCGTCCTGATCTGGTTCATTTTCCGCCGAAACGTCGGCGGACACGGAAAGAGAAGGAAGCAGAAGAAGCGGCAACAGCAGCAGCATCTGCTCCTATCCCGCTCATTGGCACTGCTATTCCCGGTACTGACACTGTTTCTGGGCCGCTCTCATTGGGGATGGTGAAATGCGAGGCTGCCCTTCGAGGGTCTTCTGCTCGCATCCTCAGACAACCAACAAATTTTGAATTTGCTACAGAAGAAGTCGATGTGGGTGTAGAAGGGGAAGAAGTCGATGAAGATGACGAATTCGATGATGAAGATGATGATGCACAGGATGATCTGCCTCAGCTCTATCTACCTTCGAACGGCTGTGGACACCAAAATTTTATAGAGGGTAAGTTTGTATTTAAAAAAGGGAACAAATAATTGATTTTGCCTTCTTTCTCACTAGAAGACTTCCGATCTGTTTTCCAAATGCACGACTTTGAGGTGCCTTTACAGCCACAACAGTCGGATGCCAGTAGCTGTTTCAGTCTCCCTCCGGGTGCTTATCATTTCTACAGCGGAAGTCTGCAAACACCGCAGACGGTCGATATGTCTACAGAGAGCTTGGTACCCATGGAACGCGGCAATTTTGAAACCGAGGAAGAAAATTTGGCTTTGGAGACAACGAAGTCACTGTCGCGAGAGCCTCTAGAGGCGATGCTGCCATCGCGCTTGGATCCGCAGCTCCAGAGATTGGGCGAATTAGCAAGTAGTTGCGGACCGATTCGATTTGCGAGTAGATTGAGGGAACTGAAGGCTCTTGGTGATAAATGGACACGGGAGAATGAAATCTTAATGCTTAGAAGTCGAAGGTTCGTTTGAGCTTAGGTGGTGATCGTCAAGTCTTCCTGATTTCCCTTCCCTCATCCCAAAAGCCCTTGTACAGAATTGTGGGACCTACGTGCGGCCCGCTGGTTCTATTTTTATTGAGTTTGTTTGAGTACGTATTGGAGCGTCGGTGACGCCGCTTGTATGCTTCGTCTGAGGTCGTGGGCGGCGCTTTCGTGTTGGTTCTAGCTACGGCGGAGCTGGTGTGGTGATTGTGGGTGCTTGGTGATGGTTGCGCTCCGGTTGGAAGAGGTGGGTCTGTATTTTAACTCCCGGGGAGCGAGTGTAGTAGGCTTTATTGAGGTGGGAGACGGATATGGGGCTAGATCTGCAGGAGCATAGTTCTGGTCGCATTTATTACGAGCTGTAAAACTTTAATATAAGTTAATTTATGTGTTTTACTGCATCAATGTCTAGGTCGTGCCATTCATTATATAGAGGCGCCTATTAAAGTTTTCGACAAATATGAGACTACTTGTTGGCATTATATGTCTCTATTTATGGATACAGAGCGCAAAATGTGCACCTGTTACAAAGAAACTGCCGCCGCTACGCAAACAGGCCCAAGTACAGGCTACACATCGTTTAGTATTCATGTTCATTTTTCATCTGAGTATTTGTTTTCACTTATTCAAGTTTAGACCCTGTCATTTAATTTTTGTATCTGCATAACTTTAATCGTTTTAAACGGTATGTACTTTGCTCGTAAAATGTAAAGCCCATTTTTAATGTTATGGCCTAGTTGATTTCAGACGAATTCAAGGACTATCTGGGAAACCTTTTCAAGGCACTGGAAAATTCAACTGAATTTTTAGACCATGTTTCCAGCTTGCATGAGGTATAGGCTAATCTCTTTTCGTGTTGCTTCTCCATTCCTTGGCTTTATTTGCTTCATTATACTTAGACTGACTCCAGCGTCAATATTTCACTCCTCTCAAAAGAAGTGCGAGACAAATTGAACCAAATCAAGTACGAAACAAGAAATTACTTTGTTGGTCTTTTAAAATTGAAACGGGACAGTGAAGCTGGAGGCAAAGTCAAGATCCCCTCAGACATAG